AAAGATTTTACCTAAGTAAAAGTTTAAATCCTAAAGTAGAAACTAAATATCTGCCAGAAATGAAGAGTATTAGAGACAAATAACTCCATGGTTTTGAAAACTCTGCAAAAGAAGACCCTGCAGATAAGACCCAAGCATGAGAATATCACAGCCAAAACATTCACGATAACTCTCATATACTAAAAGAGAATAAATCTAACAGCACGATAACCTGTTTCCCCAATTAAGGCAACTGGTTTAACTTGGCATGCTTTGAAAACAAGTTTTGATGTCAATCAAATCTTACTTGGAACAGTTTATTTAAGAAAACAAAGAAAGACATTCAGGAAGTTAGTGGTTTGGATGACAACACAAAGGTGGAAATAATATAATTAAATTTTAACACCCTAGTAGGTGAATCACTAAGGGGGTGTCTTTTTTTTTTTTTTTTTTTTATTCTGTAGGTTTTGTTATAATAAAAAGAAAGAAGCTGTTTTGGAACAGCCCAAAGGGAAGAGTTGAGGAATTGATTTGAAGGCTTTGCAGGAGCCCATTCTGGAGTCATGAAACATAATTGTAGCTTGAATGAAAGCAAGGGAGCAAAACAAAAAGAAAAAAATGGGGAAATGGCAGAACACAACCAGAATCAGATAACACTCTTTAGATCACAATTCTGTCAAGTAACTGTAGCCTGGAAGAAAAATCTTCCGGGTAAGTGGTGGGCAAGGAAGGGTTTCAGAAATAAATAGCCACTGAACGTAAAGCATGATACTGCTTCAATGCCACTGCCATGACCTTTAGCCCAACTACACACTAGAAGCTAGTCATTTTTTTCTCAACAAAGTGCCTCCTGAGTTCCTTGCACGTAGTAGGAATGGAGTGGGAACTTTCTGATGACCTTAGCTGTGTTTTTCTCACTTTGGCAACCAAAATAGGCCTTTTGTCCTGGAAACCTACAAAGATTACATTCATTTAGTACAGAATTCTTAAGAAAACAAAAGCAGCAGCAAGCCACCACAACAAAACTAGGCCCTGAGGCCTGAGCCATTTTCCAGTGCGTTTCAGGGCTTGGGTATGGGAAAGCGAGTCTATGCTCACCAGAGATGTGAACGAGGGCAGGTGGACAGCAGCCCTCTCTCACTGCCCTGCCTAAGCACCCAGATACACATCCTTCCAGGCTGCAGGGAGGATGTTAACTGGCGGTAGCTAGCGTTGCGAAGACGGATGTGTGCTAAGGAAGGGAAGAGAGGGGTGTGCCTTGTACATCCATCCTCCCAGAGGCTTCCTCTGTCTGCTGAGACAACCGAACCCTTTCTGCTGGTTCTGAAAGGACAGGTACTCCGGATAAGACTTTTACTTACCAGGCAAGTAAGATAGAGACGAAATAGATGTTTTCAGATGTTAAGGAACTTACTCTCATGCAGGTCAGTGAAGACACTGAAGAAAGTCAGAAGCTTCCGAGAGCAGTGCCCTCCAATTTCCAGCTCGCCTAGGGCTGGCCCTGCCTTTAGCCTTGATTCCCCAACGTATTCTAAGTCCTCGTACAAACTAAATCAGAGGCACAGAGCACTAAATTCTAGCAAATGCCAGCTAAGGAAGTGCCATCCCTTTTAGAATAAGCCAAATGAAAATCTTGCTTTATTGCATTTTAATACCTATGAAATCATTTATGTTGAGAGACAATTTATAGTTTATCGATCTTCTTAATTTTCATGTCCTCTACAAGAGGTGTTGGTAAAGGGAAAACAGATGAGGTCAAGTGAGTCGATTTGTTGGTTTGTACAGAGTGGGTTTTATTTAAAGGACATCTGTGAACTCCTTTGTATGCCACATGTCATTTTTATGCCTCTATTCTACCATTGTGGGTAGTTAGAATTTGATCGTATTTACAGTTTTCAGGCCTTGACAATTCCCTGATCTAAAGGGATTTCATGCAAGTCATGGAGGGCCTTTCGTTGTGCAAGGCACTGCTGGGGATACAGTGGTGAGAAAAAAAACAGTCCCATCTCAAAGAGCTAACGTTTTCAATAAGCAGGATTAAAGAAAAGCCTCTATTTTCTATAAGGACTTGATATGAAGAGACTGTTCCTTGTAAATACTAACCATCTACAAGTCGTGTTGTTTTTCATAATCCCCACCTCTTGTATTTTTAATCACATTAAGGTAAACTGGCAAATTGTAGTTGTTATATTTTAAGTCACTATAGAAGAGCTTAATAAAGACATCTATAAAGATAAGCCACATCACGCCCGGCCGATGTGGCTCAGTGGTTGAGTGTCCACCCATGCACCAAGAGGTCGCTGGTTCAATTCCCGGTCAGGGCACATGCCCAGGTTGTGGGCCAAATTCCCAGTGGGGGGCATACAGGAGGCAGCCAATCGATGTTCTCTCTCATCGATGTTTCTATCTCGCTTCCTCTCCCTTTCTCTCTCTCTAAAATCAATAAAGAAAAAAAAAAAAAAGGATACTCCACATCTTAAATACAACATGCAATCCAAAAAGCAATCTTAATAATAGCCAATACAATATAGTAATAGCTAATACAAGGGTTTACTCTTTTCTAATCAGTTCAGAGTGTATATATACCCCTCTTAACTCTCACGGCGACTCTGTGTGAGGGGTACTAGTATTATCCTGATTTTACAGATGACAATACAGACACAGAGGGTATGAGTAGGCACAGATAGAAATCAGAATGCTGGGAGGCTGAGCAGGAACGGGTTAGCTCAATGTAGCACCAAGAATGCAGAAAAGAGGAAACCCTTTCAGAGTCCATAATTACTGAGGTTAACAGAAAATCTGAGAGGAGAATGAGAAATTCAATGTACTAAACTGAGTAAGGTGACTGAGCATAGAATAAGAATAGAATAAAGTCACACAAAGGACAAGTTTAAGTTACAGTGCACACATAAATTAACCTTGACCTTTGAGGGAAGATTAGAACTATTTTTAAGATTCTGACATCCTTAATAATTGTCAGGAAAATAAAAATAGCGATATAGAAAAGATAATCTATAAAAGTTAGCAATGTCTTTAATAAAATACATCAGAAAAAATACAGTTTTATTGTATATTTATGATACCAAACTCAGAAATAGAAACATTATCATTTAAATTAAAAAATGAGATTTCATTTAAATATCATGAAAATATTTCTAATCTTCAGGAACAATCTCAGTTTTCACCTCAGTGGTTGGTGTCATGTACATCTGTGCAAATCTCATTATCAAAAATTAGGAGTCCTGGCCGGTTTGGCTGAGCGGTTAGAGCATCGGCCTGCGGTCCAGGGAGACCCTGGTTCGGTTCCCGCTAAGGACACGTACGTCGGTTGCAGTTTGTCCCCAGCCCTGGTTGGGTTGTGTGGGTGGCAACCACTCGATGTATCTCTCTCACGTCAATGTTTCTCTCTCTCCCTCCCACTCTATCTGAACAAAAAATGGAAAGGATGTCCTCGGGTGAGGATAAAAAAAAAATTAGGAGAAAATTTATAACTGCACATTTTTCTAACATAGGCAGGGGAGTAAAAATTACACTAGGGTCTACAACAGTTGTTTTTGGTTCCCACGTAATACAATTCCAGAATAAAAACTATTTTTAAATGTATAAACTTCCTTGACGAAAAAATATGGAGCATACTGTAATAAAAATTATAAAATAGCACAATATTGTAAATCATGCAATTTAGAGCATTTAGAGTTTGGCTGCATGGTTTGAATCATAATTCTATCAGTCTTCTAGATTAGTCCAAATTCCCAGGGACACATTACTTGAACTCTTTCCTCAATTAAAAAAAAAGAGGGGAGCACCAAGAGAACCCACTTCCTAAGGCTGGTATACAAATCAAATAAAGAACACCCGCAGTGCTCTGCCTGGTACACGGTAGGGACTCAAGGCATTACCTGTTATTTTCGTTATATGTCATTACATAAACATTATATAAGCATTTCACTATATCGGCATTTACTATTTATGCATAAACTATACTAAAGAGAGAACTAGAAAATCAATTTTTTGACAATTTCTAAACCCACTGGAGAAAAGCAATGTAGACCTGACCAGCCACTGTAATAATTACATTTAAAAATTTTCTATAACGTTTGATCTGAAGACGGAATGAGAGTCATCCAGCCTGGTGGACAGTACTGTGCATACACACACGTGTGGCTTTTTCATAGAGGTATGTGGGAAAGTTCTCATGAAAGACAAAACATCTGATGTAATATTATTTCTAATTTGGTATCCCTGGGGTTTTCCCAAGGCAAAGGAATAAGCCTAAGGAAACTAAAAAGCAACAGCCCATAGTCAAAACAACAACAACAAGCAAACGGATCTATAAATGCCAAAGCATTCACCTGCAGCCGAGACCAGTCACATCTGAGTGTGTGCGGCACACCCAGAACAGTTTCTATAAAACCTTGAATCACGTACAGTTGTTTTTTTATAAAGGTTTATTAGGTGGAGCTTGTTATGGACACAGTTAACAGAGCAAATTTAAAAGGCTAATTAAAAATGAAAAATAACATGTCATTTAAATACTGTTAGAAACTTTCTAATCTTCAGAAACATAGTTCCCTTTCAGTGTTCTCAATGTTTGAGAAAGAAACTGGCCTAGATGTTAGCATCTGGCAAATGCCATTCTGAACGGACAAAATCAAGGCAAGCTTTTAATTTTCTGCTGTCACATGTCATCATTCTTTCCTCCCCACTACACCTCTATTCCACTTTTCCTCCATTTAGCTTCAATTTTATGATGTCCAGCAGATGAAGTTTAGATTTCTAAATCCTACACCTTAAGCTAGAGACAAGACACCAGGTAACACTAATTTAGTAATTAAATGCATCATTTGCCAACATAGCACATAAACTGTTTACTCTTGAATGATGTCATCAAATACCATCTACCCGTATGTCTCACTTTCTTTTCAGAAGCCATGTAGGCAATTTCCGTACCTTAATTCAGAATACGATTTTATATACATTTCCTGGGAGCTAGACACATATAGACTGAGAAGAGTACTTACTTTTGATCAATAAAGAGAGGATCAAAGAATTCCGTTGTGATTTTGTTTGCATACAGGGAACAACCGGTCATGGAGCATAGCCCTAAAATGTATCAGAAGGAAAGTATCCTGGTAAGTCAGTGTTATTTCATTAACATGGTGAAAGTACCTTGTTTGGAAGAAAGTTACTATTTACCTGACAGTATGAATACAACCCCAGCAAAACAAGCAATTTTAGCTTTGGCTTGCTCGGAGCCTCCGACTTTGGTACACTTCATTCCAAATAGGGCAATTATGGAACCAAAAAAGCCCAGGCTGACAGCAGCAATCATAAGTCCTCTGCATGCCTGGATATAACCTGTAATTAGAGTAGGTCATTTACATTAACATAAAACAGGTGACTGCCCATTTTACATTGTCCTCCTGAATAACTGTTCAGTTTTTCAAAATATAAAAATAGATGCATAACTGTAATTGTTAAAACACATGGTAAGACAAGGAAGAAGGGAAAGCAAGGTATTCTACATAGAGGGCCTGTTCTATGCCACACACTTTTAGGTCCAGCTCATGCATAATCCTCAGATTAGCTCTCTGAGTGTTATTATCCACATATGAGAGAACTAAGGCAAACAAAGTTTCTATGATATGCCACAGATGAATAAGAGGCAGAAAAGCATTCCATACAGATATGACTACAAAATCCATGTAACACTGTCTTTCACTGTGCAAAACATCTCTTACTCCTTTGTACATTGGAACTTTGAAAAAAAAATTTTTTTATTGATTTTTTTAGAGAGAGAGAAACATCGATCGACTGCCTCCTACGTGCCTCCAGTGGGAGATTAAGTCTGAAACCTGGGCATGTGCCCTGAACAGAACTGATCCGGGGCCTCTCAGTGCATGGGATGATGCTCAATCCACTGAGCCACACCAGCCAGGCTATACTGGAATTTTTAAATAAATGTTTTAATGGTTTTGACATTATAAAATGTATAATTGGGCAGCAAGACCTTCCAAAGGGTGAATCTTCCAATATTAGTGAAAGCTTATAAATGAGACCAACCAAAATATCATCATGAACCATGTGGAGTCTAAATTAAGAATTATTTTAATGACACTGTATTCTTTTCAGGGCACATATAATAAAATTTGGTTTCAAAAGCATTGGCTATTTACAAGAATAGTTTATAAATCTTTTTTTTTTTTTTTTAATCCTCACCTGAGGACATTTTTCCATTTTTTGTTCAGATAGAGTGGAAGGGAGAGAGAGAGAGAGAGAGAGAGAGAAACATCGATGTGAAAGGGACACATTGAGTGGCTGCCACCCACACAACCAACCAGGGCCGGGGACAAACTGCAACCGAGGTACATGCCCTTAGCGGGAACTGAACCCGGGTCTCTCCGGACCGCAGGCTGACACTCTAACCGCTGAGCCAAACCGGCCAGGGCTATAAATCTTAAATTAACTGATTACATATAAATGGTAACCATATAAAAAGTAACCGTTAAAGCGTACTTTGTTGGCTGGTATGATCATTCTTTCTACATCATTCATTTCCTTAATCACATATTTTTATTTGCACAGCCATGATCAAGGTAAACTTCATTCAGCCTGGCATTCTTCCAGACACTAACAAATTTTAAAATAATAGGATTTAAACTAATAAACTTTTCCACATACAGATATTTTCACTTCAGCCTTAAACAATCCACATTTCAATCTGAAATAGTAGATTTCATGAAATAATGGTCCATACTGGGTATAAGTATATATTTGTTAAGCAAATAAACATACATGTACATCAGATTTACATTTGGATTATATTTGTTAATTTGGCAAAATGTGTTAATGCCAAGATACTGAAAGTCATTTACTATTAGTCCTCAGGCAAAAGCTACAATAAATTGTATCTCTAAGACTGCAATAATCATAAATTCAGAAAATAATGCTGGCAGGTGGACTCTGGTCCATGTTCCTTTGGGAAAGGATAAAATTTTAAGTTTTAATCCTATTAATTAGGATCTGGTTTAGAGTTCACAGCAGATGCTCTATTTAATTGAACACATTTAGGCCCCCATAAATTCAGACTACAGTGACAATAATCTTCTATTTTCTAGCATGAACTACTTCCAAACAAAATAATTTCACTGGTGGTGAGACTATAAAAAACAGCAACAGGAACATTTTTAGCAAAACAGGGTAACGGAGGCTTATTTTGGTAGCAATAATCACTCTGCAGGGCTCTCAGCGTGTCTACTGCCCAATACTGACCCAGCTCTATTTTAAACTTCAACCCTGAAGTCCCTCTGCCAGAACCCAGGGAGCAGGTAGAAGCCCAGACAGAGAGAGTGAGCCTGTTAGTTCCTTGCAAGATTAAAGAAAGTCTACTCTTTAAAGAACCACAACTGCCTCATCATTTACCACCAGAGCTACTGGGACAATGTGTGGGTTCATTAATTTTTTAGTTTTATTTTAACCTATGGTTTTGAGGTGTTTTAAGCAGACTCTGACTGCTTAAAACTGTGTGTGTATGATGAACCTCAATAATACATGTGTCAAAAAAAAACCCTATCCTAGAAAACTTTATCCTGCACCTTAATTTGCATTTATTGTAATAACCTTATGGGCTTTATTCACAGAAAATGCAGGAGCCAGGCAAAAGGTTAAGTCCTTCAGTGTGACCATTTAGACCATGAAGTGCATTTTCCCAAATGTGAAACTATGGTTAGAACCCCAGGCTGATGAATTTAATCCTTAATATGACTGGAAAAATAACAGCAGTCTTTAAACTTTAACTGCTACTCATAATCCTTTGTTCTGAGTTTCTCATTCAGTTCTTCCACCTCAGCCCTTCTAACTACAGCAGGACCACTCTCTTGGCACAAGTCCAAGAGCAGAGACGGGGAGAGCAAAGTTCTGATGTGGTCAGGTCCTTCCTCAGTACCATTCAGAACCCTGATTTGAGGACAAGGTACTTCTCTCTGGTTGAAAACAGTACCAATGAGTAAATTGCTAATTTGTCGCATGCAGAAAAGAACACACTTCACCAGCATCATCACTGACTAGATTTTCGGAAATGGGGAGCAAACAAAGAACAGGGATTGGGGTTCCTAGGGATAAGCTCTCCTGCCAGCTGTAAATGCAATCCAGTTGTTGGTAAGCTTGAGGTTGGTAAATTAGGGTTTACCAGTCCTGGAGACACCCAGACTCAGGCCTTAGGCGACTTCCAACAAACTCATAGTTTATCTTTTACAAGGCAGACACCTCTACAACCATGCTTTTTAACAGTTCCTCGGGGCAAAACTTATAAGTAAAACCACCAAGTGAAGTGGTGGTAAAAACTAGTCAAGGAGGCCATTATTTTTGACAGGTCTAATTTACTGACTCCGTTAATAGCTAATTAACACATTAAAGTGCTGAAGCATGAAAATATTTACTTAGAAGTTCTCTGAAGTATAATTTATAGTTAATTCTCTTGTAAGAAATGGCAAACATTCACACTAACAAAAATAATTGTCTCTACTGAAACACAACCTGGCTGAAAATTATTCTCAGCTCAAGTTCAAGTGCTGTTTTGAAAGGAACGTGGGTTAGCGATAAACAGAAATCATTAGCTTTTTCAACTGTGAAATTTTTAATTAGTAAAATACAGTGACTTTAATGAATTCTGTTAAAGGAAACCTTCAAGGTGCCCCTTAAAAGTGAAGTGTTTCACCCTGGCCAGGAGGTTCAGTTGGAGCGTCGTCCTGTATACCAAAAAGTTTCGGGTTTGATTTCTGTCAGGGCACAGACCTAGGTTTTGGGTTCAATTTTCTGTGGAGGCACATACAGGAGGCAACTCACTGATATTCTCTCTCTCCCCCCTTCCTCTCTCTCTCAAATCAATTAAAAAACATAGCCTCAGATGAGGAGTAAAACAAGTTTTGTTTTCCAAATGATGTGTACCTTATTTTTCATTTCAAACTAGCAAAATTGAAAAGAGCCACTTGGTGGAGACAATTTCCTGGTAGCACACATGCTAGTTTTAAAAGGAGAATAATGTGTTTTTCTTATGCTAGTAGCTTTGTATACTTTTTGCAAATACTTTGAAAGATCAGTAAGGGGGGGAAGGCATAAACTTTTGTATTTACCCCTGTGTGCTCTTGATTATGTTAGCTTATCTCTCTAAGCCTCTGTTTCCTCATCTGTAAAACAGGGATAACAACTTTTACTTCACAGGATGAATAAAATGAACAAAGCGTCTGGTAAGGGATAAGTAACTCATGGAAGCGTCCCTTCCAGAATACTAAGATTGAGTCTAAGCAGAAATAAGAGTTAAGGTATTAACATGGCATAACATTAACCCTAGACATTTATCTTTTCTCAGTCTCATTTTCCTTATAAGGAAACCTGGGATAACCACCTGACGATGAGGAATCAGAGCTTTGACCTCAAATAGGAAATTCAGAATAATGACTCCATCATCTGCTTCCAAAAGGCTTGTTCTTCCATCTAAGACTAGACGAGAGAACCATGAGCTTTATCTCTACCTTCTTGGCTTTTCTTCTCAACCTAGACTTTACGCCTGGGTTAAGAAGAGGGTTTGTCTGCTCAGGCCTGTGGCCCCCATGGTAACGTAGCCTTCTTTTGCCATTGCAAAGGCAATGTTAGGAAATCCACGTGCAGCATGCTGGCAGCAGGACCTGCCTCAGAATCAGCATCCAACAGATACAGCTGCCCTGGGAACACTTGGCAGAGAGTAGACAGCAGAGGACAAGCTTTGAGAAGTTCTACTTGCTGATGGGGGAATCAGCTCCTCTCTATATGAAAATGTAGTAGAGTCACTGAATCCCCATAATGTTTTTCTGGGAGATACAAAAAGTAAGTCTATTGTTTTGTGGTAGGCAATGCCTTCCTAAGCCACAAAAGGCAGAGGCAGCAGGAAGAGTCTGATAAATCTGATTACAGTATACATTTCAGACTTGTGTATGAGAAAAGTCCTCATAAATTTAAAAGACAAAAAATGGGCTGAGATCGCAACATATGTAACAAATCAAAGATTCACATCCAAATTAAAAAAAAAATCAAATTATTTAAACCAAGAGGAAACAATAGAACCATGGACATAAGACATGGACAGGCAATTCACAAAAGGGGAAAAAAAGATCAATACATAGTAATCAGGGAAATGCCAATTAAAATGATAACATGAATATGCGTCACCCATAATTTAGTGGTGAGAATGTAGAGAAATAGGTATTCTCATATGCTGTGGGTAGAATGTAATTTGGCAGTATAAACTGAATATTAAAAATGAATATTTTACTCCCTGATAATACGATTTCTCAGTGTCTATACCAATACACATACGCATGAAGAAGCAAATATGAAGATTTTCAGCGAAGCTCTAACAAGAATAAAAGGCTGGAAAGGGTCCAATGTCCAACAATGGGTAAATAGTTAAGTAAACCACTTTGTCCAGACTGATGAATACTATGAAACCATTATTCTCTATGTATGGACTGGGAAGATATGCTATTAATTTTAGAATACTGCAGAACAGTAGGTAGGGTGGTGTTATTCATGTTTTTAAAAGTCATTTTCTAGACACTTGAGCACACATGGCAGGCTATTTTGCAAGCTGGGCTGTATATAAATGTCGTTACTCCTCTCTTTGCTCCATTCATAACTCACTCTAGAGCTTAATAATTGAGGGTTATGCCCTCCTTCTTCCTGCCCCCAAATCTTGATACCATGTCCACTTTCACCTCAGATGTATTATTTTGCACCTAATAATATTCAGGGAGCATTTATTTGCCTCTCTTCTCTCTTGTCTCCCAACTGTCCCATAGAAGGAAGTCTATCTGGAGTTTTATCTCAGGTAACAATACAGTTACAACAGAAGAATATGCTTAAAAGAGTAACTGTCAATCCCATATTCCTGAATGTAAACCACAAAAACGAAGAACAAGAGCCTGCCTGTTCAAAACATCTACCTGGATGTGTGCTCTGCAGAGCACAGGAAATTCAACAGCAATTCTAGGGAATCCACAGTGTCTCAGCAACTTATTTTACACAGCAGGACACAAGCTGGGTGTCACCCATCCAAAACTAGACACGTAGGCCCTTATAGCAGGTTCCATCAAATACCATGTTGAGCCACAGTTTGCTTTTCGTGGCAAGCACCATCTTAGGGGAATTAAATCTTGTCTCTTATTTACTCAGCTATGCAAATAAAAACTTGCAGTGCAGAAATAAAAGAAAAAGAAAATACTCAAATCTAGAAATAATGTAAATGAGTCTCTCCATAAGTTTCTGCTGGGAACCATCCAGTCGTGTGCTGTAAAATTCTGGAAGAGCCTAGAACTTGAGCAGTCATCCTGACCACCTTGACATCTACTGTTCTCTTGAAACTAAAACAGAGTTTTCTATATGGATATCTATCTACCTGTTGCTATAATGCAATGCAATATAAAGCCTCATTAACAAAAACAATGTAGAGGACAATTTACAAAAGAACACCAGGAGGGAGACCGAGAGAGGCCCGGGCACTGCGCTTAGTCTCCCGCACAAGATTGTTACTGGCCAGGATTCTCTACCCGCTGAGGCACAAGCAAGAGCTATTAATTTTCCTAAATATTTAGGGGGTAAAAACACCCCTCTGCCTTTGTAAAATGATCCATTGTCTCCTGCCCACTCTTAAAAGAATTCACTAAAAGGCTAAAGGGAGTTCAGGGCAAGCCCATTTCGCTTTTACAAGTCAAGGACACCATCAGAATCCACTTCTTCTGGGAAGTCGACGTAGAAGACAAGCCCCCTCTGCGGGACTCCGTGTTTTAACAGTTCGCAAAAGATGAGAGTCCCACAACCGTGTCCTGGACTCTCAGGACAATAAAGCTGCTTCCCTCCACCCCCGACACCCGAGAGTCACCCACCGGGTCCAGGCCTGTCCGCTCCCCGCCCCCACCCCAGGATCCCGGCTCAAACAGGCGTCCACGCAGGACAGTCGTCCGGGGACTGCGGGCGATGGAAAGGGGGGCTCCCCCCAGCTCCCTCAGCCCTAGGGGAGAAGCGGGACCCGGTCTCAGAGGAGTCTGGCCCCGAGGTCGCAGCGGGATCGTGAAGCCGAGCGGGCGCCCCCGCCGGCTGGCCTGGAAGGGGTGAGGGGCGGGGGCCGAGGGGATGCAGACCGTCCAGCGCCAGCATGGAGGGGAAGTCCTTGCAGCTGGAGACGCCCGTGGAGTCGGTAACGCACGTCTTCCACAGGTTGGCCCAGAAGGTGGCGGTGGTGATGACCGTGCCGTCGTTGGTGGATACCTTCCAGTAGTCGGTGGGCACCGTGGAAGACACCAGCAACCAGCCCGAGATAGAGACCGTGAAGGCGATGATCTCCAAGGCAGTGCTCGCCATGCTGCCCGCTGCAGCCGCGCCAGCTCTCCCGCTCCCGTTCCCACCCCGCGCCGGACCCCGAGCGCAGGAACTGGAGGCCCCGCCCCCGCGCCCCCGCGCGGCGCCGCCCCGCCCCGCCCGAGACCCGCTGCTAGGGGGCGCGCCCCGATCTGAGTCCGCGCCGTCCGGGCCCGGGACCGCGGGGGTGGCTCTCCTGTTGGACAGACTGGCAGCCGGATGTGGACAACTTGTTGCGTCCCACCTCCCCTCTCCCCTCCCTAGACCTACCCAAGGCAAATAGCATGGCTCCCAGAGTACCTTGTAAAAGCAGAGCAGAAAATGCCTTCTGTGTGTCCTGAAAGCACAAGGCCTGGTAATGCAGCCCTTGGCTTGGTGAACTCTAAAGATGTTTGGGCGACTCTGTTTGGCTTGTCAGGGAGGGATCACTGCGGCAGTTCTGGGCTCGAAATCGTCCTTGCTCTAATATTCTGCACTTCTTTTTGGCCCGGTAGTGTACGGAAAGTCGTAAAGAGGTGCTTGGCACAGAGCTAAATTCAAGATTGCCCCATATGGAGAGCACGGCTCAATTGGGAACTTCTTTGCAACCTCGAGCTTAAATGTTCCAGCGACAATGCGGGCCTGCTGATACTAACGCACTGCACCTAGGACATGCATTTAAGACGCTTTCCTTATAGGACCCTTCCAGCTCTCAGGTCTGAGTCTGTTCAATGAAATGATGGCTCTGTCACAGTGGAAACTGCTCTGTATCTTGTTTTTTCCTCCTCCACCTTTCACACCTAATTGAAGAGTTTAATTTATTCCTTCATTGCTGCCTCAAGGTATGCATAAAGATCAGGGTGTACTTTTGGCTCCTGAGGTCACAAATCTGGGCATAAATGAGAGAACAAAGACACTAGCTTTACTATGGGGTTATTATTTATCTATTTGAAGTTCTTGCAGTTCTTGTTATGAGCTTTCAAGATCCACTTCTTGCCAAAAGTAACTAAAGGTCTAAAACCTATAAATAAGTCCCTTACAATAAAGCTGGTTGCTAACCCTCTATTTCACAATCTTTGTGCAGGAACACTTTGGTTCTTTGTGAAGAATTTCTCAATTCCCCTTTTGTCATTTTTTTTTTTAACCAAATGTATACAGAATTAAATTTGAGGTGATTAGATGCGTATGGAGAAGAGAGAAGGTTGGACTATAGAACCATTTGGAAAGACCACTAAAGACTGTTAGGACAGGCTCACACTAAACACAATTATCTTTTCTATTTATAGAGATAATATTCAGTTCATGCTCTAACTTTCAGTCACGGGTTCAGTGCGTGGCAAAGCATGTGTTATGGTTTGTTTTGTTTTGTTTTGACAGCTTTTTAGAAAGTTTTTCTTCATATTGAATCCAAATCCATCTCCCAAACGCCCTTACTCTGCATTGAGACAACACAGGGTAAATCCTACTCTTTGGCTGTGCCGCCCTTGGGAGGTGTGTGCGTGTGTGCTTGCTTGTGGGAATGAAAGTGAAGATGGTTTTCCTGGTGGGATGTAGGCGTGGTTACACTACTGTATTACTGTTGGCGCCAACTTGTCCTGCTGTCTCATGTTGGGTTCATCAGTGGGTCAAACTTACAGTTTGGGAAGCATCTACCTAACCTCAGCCTTCTCATCCTCCCTGCTATTCAAAACAGTCATCTTTGAGTATTGCCTACAAAGTGTCCTATACTCTTTTGTATGATTTGTCTTTTTGTTTTGTTTTTGTTCATCCTCACCAGAGGATATTTCTCCTGATAGAGGAGTGGAAGAAATGGAGGGAGGGAGAGAGCGAGAGAGAAAGAGAGAGAAACATTGATGGGTGAGAGACACATCAATTGGTGCCTCTCTCATGACCCCAACCAAGGCCAGGGATCGAACCTGCAACCCAGGTATGTGCCCTTGACCAGAATATAACCTGAAATTCTTCCATCCGCAGGCCAACACTTTAACTGCTGAACCAAACCGGCCATGATTTGCCTTTTCTTTCTGTTGTTGTTGGTGTTGTTTTAAAAATAAAAAACAGCTTTATTGAAGTTTAATTTATATACCATAAATATACAATTAAATTAAAAATTCAGTGAGTTTTGCCCGGCCAGTGTGGCTCAGTGGTTGAGCGTCGACCCATGCACCAAAAGGTCGCAGGTTCGATTCCTGGTCAGGGCACATGCCCAGTTGTGGGCCAAATCCCTAGTTGGGGGCATGCAGGAAGCGGCCAATTGATGTTCTCTCTCACTGATGTTTCTGTCTCTCTCTCTCTCTAAAATCAATAAAGAAAAAAAAAATTTTAATTTAAAATTCAGTGAGTTTTTTTTTTTTTTTTAACTTTTTTTCCTTTATTGGTTTTACAGAGCAAAGAAGTGAGAGAGAGATAGAAACATCAATGAGACAGAACATCGATTGGCTGCCTCCAGCATGCCCCTCACCAGAGATCAGGCCCACAACCTGAGCGTGTGTCCTGACCAGGAATCAAACCAGTGACTTCTTGGTGCGTGAGTCAATGCTCAACCACTGAGCCACACCAGCCAGAAAAAAAATTCAGTGAGTTTTAATAAATTTATAAAATTGTGTAACCATCATTACAATCCAGTTCCAGAACATTGTCTTTTTCTTGACATTGTTTTATAATTCCTATTGAACATTCCTACACTTTCTTTTGTTGAATTTATTTCTGAATATATTTTTTTATATCCTCACTGGAGGATATTTTTCCATTTATTTTCAGACGAGTGAGGGGGGGGGAGAGAGAGAGAGAGAGGTGAGAGAGACACATCGATTGGTTGCCTCCCCCACGACCCCGACGACCCCGACCTGGGCTGGGGACTGAACCACAACCAAGGTACGTACCCTTGACCAGAATCAAAACTGAGATTCTTTGGTCCGGTCCATGGGCCAATGCTCTAACTGCTGAGCCAAACTGGCCAGGTCTATTCCTGAATATTTTTTGATGCTGTTGTGAATGTAATTGTTTTCTTAAATTCATTTCTAGTTGATAGTATATTGATTTTAAATTCATATATCTATGCCTTGTTGCACTGGATAGAAGCTCTAGTTCAATGTTGAATAGAAGTGACGAGCGTGGACATCCTTGTTTTGTACCCAATGTTAGGGGAAAGCACTGTCTTTGATCTTTAAGTTTGAGGATACTTGTAGGTTTTATATAGAAGTTTTCTTCTGTTCTTAGTTTTTGGAGAGCTTGATCATACATGTTTGTTGGATTTTATCAAATGCTTTTTCTACATTTTTGAAATGATCACATGGCTTTTTACATTATACCAGGGGTGAGCAACATTTTCCAGAAAGGGCCATTTAATATTTTTTGGCCCTGGCCGGTTTGGCTCAGCGTTTGGAGCGTCGGCCTGCGGTCCTGAGAGACCTGGGTTTGGTTCCCGCTAAGGGCATGTACCTCGGATGCAGTTTGTCCCCGGCCCTGGTTGGTCGTGCGGATGGCAGCCACTCGATGTGTCCCTTCACATCGATGTTTCTCTCTCTCTCTCTACCTCTCTCTCCCTCCCGCTCTATCTGAACAAAAAATGGAAAAATGTCCACGGGTGAGGATTAAAAAATAAATAAATAAATATTTTTTGGTTTTGTGAGCTATATGATCTCTGTTGCAACCAATCAACTCTATTATAGCATGAAAGCAAATATAGACAACATATAAATGAATGGGTATGACTGTGTTTCAATAAAACTTAATTTACAAAAATAGAAGGCTTGCCTAATTTGGCCTATGGGCCTTAGTTTGCTGACCCCTGCTTTAATCTATTAACACGTTTATTACATTAATTGACATTGAAATGTTAAGCTAACCTACATTCCTGTATAAACTTCACTTGGTCATGATGTATAATCCTTTCTGTACATTACTGGATCCTATTGTTATTCCTTTAAGAAATTTAGCATTTATTTTCATGAAGGGTCTTGGTCTCTAGTTTCTTGTGATGTCTTTGTCTGCAGCTTTGCTATCAGGGTAAAAGAGCTTGAAAATGTTCCTTTCTCTTCTATTTCTTTTTCTTTATTGTTGAAAGTATCACAGATGTCCCTCCTTACCCCCTCCCCCCATTTAATCCCTCCTCCCTGCTCCCCACACCTTCACCACACTGAGATTTGCCTTTTTAAACTACTTTTATCATCTGGTTTCTTACCCTCCAGCGTATTTCCACAATTATTTATACACCATATTCCTTTCTGAACAATCTACTTTTTTCTGATCCATTTTATTATTCAGAAAACATAAAAAATCATAAACCAAGACATTCCCTGTAGAGTTTCCAAACTTAAAAATTTCACAAATTTTGGTTTTGTACTTTATTCCCTGGCCTTGTTTGACAGTCTCTTTGTTTGCTTCCTCATGGTAGGTATTCACTAACATTGTTGATTCTTCTTCTTTTTTTTAATCCTCACCTGAGGATTTTTAAATAGAGTAGGAGGTCCCTGGCCAGTTTGGCTCAGCAGTTAGAATGTCGGTCTGCAGACCAGAGTCCCAGTTCGGTTCCCGCTAAGGGCACGTACCTCGGTTGCAGTTTGTCCATGGCCCGGATGGGGTCGTGTGGGTGGCAACCACTCAAAGTATCTCTCTCACATCGAAGTTTTTCTCTCTCTCTCTTTCCTCCTACCTCCCACTCTATCTGAAGATAAATACAAAAAAGTCCTCGGGTGAGGATAAAAAATAAATAAATAAATAGAGTAGGAGGGAGGGAAGGGAAGAGAGAGAGGGAGAAACATCTGATGAGAGAGAGACACATCGGTTGGTTGCCTCCCTTATGACCCCCCTGACAGAGGTTGGGGATCTAACCTGCAACTCAGGTAAGTGCCCTTGACTGGAATTGAACCTGAGAGTCTTCGGTCTGCAGGCCGATGCTCTAACCACTGAGCAAACAGGCCAGGACAATTCTGTTTGTAATGTATAAGATAAAACGCTGACTTACTTTTGACACAGAAAAAAGTGTATATTGTGACCTTGAAGACATAAGCAGTTCCTAATTTATAAGCAAGTTGACTATAAATTC